AAAATTCAAAACCAACTACGCATGGACTTAATTAGTAGGTTTTTTTTTTTTTGACAGGTTATTTTGTACCTTAATTAGTTTGGCAAAAACCTCTCTAAATAATTTCGAATTAAAAATTTAAAGTTAGATTATGCAAATTTATTTTTTTTAACTTTCCTAATAAGTTAGATTTAAAGGAAAAGTTTTTCATTTAACATAAACTAGCCAATGGCCCGTGTGTTGTTGTCTTTTTTTTTTTTTTTTACATATATATTTTTCAGAACAAATTAAAGAGAGAAAAGATATTAATTATATAAAAAACTGTGTTTAAGAGTAATCCATAAACAATTAATGATACCTAACTTATATAAAAGGATTCTGAGATATTAAAATATTGAAATATTGACATATTTAAAAAGCTGTGTTTAAGAACACCTCATTTTGTCGATTGGATACATTGTATGGCGACCAATTTGCGTTATAAAATATTTTTTTCGACATTGGAAGTTTTGCTTAACAATAATAATACGTTTCATTTTTAAACAAATACTAAGACTCAAAAAATAAAAAATCTCATATCTTATATATATGGCAAAACTAGAATGAAGAAAAATGTCTAGTAATTCTAGTATGTAGGGTATGTATGTCTTGTCATTAAATTAGTTCATTTAATTAAATATCTTTAAAGTGATAAAATTATATAAAATAATCCTAACCATGTATTGGAATTTTAAAAAGTAGGAGTTAACTAACATAATAATTCATGTTAGCATAGAACCCAGTTCATTTCATGGTCAATTACTCAGTAGTTGATTGTATACGAGGCATTTTGAACAAGTCCAAGCCAAGCTCAACCACAGCAATTTGGCATGCATTAATCATGCATGCAAAAACGTTGTCAGTCTTGACATAAATTTTTTATTATAGAAAATAGTAATCGAGCACGTTTTTTTTTTGTATATATTATTAGTGGATAACATAAATGCTTCTAGTAACCTAGAAGATATCTATAGTAGGTGAAATAAGAATCATCCGTTACGCAATCTTGACATCTTCCTTTGCATTATAACAAGAAATGAAGAATAGTTTCAAGCTGAAGTTGTCATCTTGAATTGCCTAGCAATAGATAACAAAGCATATCTTATTCTACTAATACTAGTAAACCAAGTTAACGGCATCAATAGCTGCTAAACTAGATACACAACATAGTTAAACCAAATCTAGCGTGAATCGTTGCTACAACTCCATCCATAATGGATATATCTTATTCTATGTACTCTTTTTTGTATTGGTCCGATATATAATAGTTAACGCATCAATCAAAATGAAATATTTTCTTAATATTTTTTTATTTGAAGTATTTTCTTACTTAAAGTCAAATAATAATTTCAAACTAAAAGCTTAAGTTCTTGGGGGAAACTCTATTTTAAGTAAATTTTTTTTTAACTTAAAACTTGTACAAGTTCATAATTACGTTGTGTTTAATTAGAAGAAAAAATAAAAGTAGTAAGATTTGAATTCATAATCATTTGATCATCAAAATTTTGATATCATATTAAAAAGTCATCAAAATTCAAAATTTTACATTCTCTTTAATAAAACTTCATGATATGATTTTTATTATTTTTTAATAGTCTAAAATATATTTTCACTAGTCTAGTTTAGCCAATGAGAATAAGGAAGGATGATTTTAGACGGTTATAAAAGAATAATTTATAATGTCAAGTAAATATGAGCATCGGATTTGTGGTTATCCAAACGAATCAAGAATATGTGAAAATTCTTTACTATTTGATTGAAATCTCAACGAACAATCCTTTGATTCATAAAACAGCATAACATAAAATTTGTATTTGGTTTTAAAATGTGCAGATTAAAGACTAATTCCCACTCCAGTAAAATTTTAAATAAATCATTTACATTCCAATTAAGTGATATATTTACAAAATTATTTTTTTCAAGGCCATGGACTTGCACAAACAAATATTTAGGATAGTTAGGATGTATAGGATGGCAGAATGTTCAATTTATAAAGACTGAAATAATAGTTATTATTATAGGTCATGGTCTTTTCTTTATTTTCTTGGTAGGTTGAAGAATTAATATATATATATATATATATATATATATATATATATATATATATATATATATATAAACATTAAGGTCTATTTCGAATTGAAACCAAAGAATAGTTGCTTTTACCTATTTTTTATCGAGTCTTATTCAGATCATTAACAACCAAACCAACATGTATAGACACAAAATCAATACATCATCAAGAGTATGTTTGGAGAGAGATAGACATATAAAAAAATTATATTTAAGTTATTCCATAGACTCACTCCATAAAGACGAGATAAACACAAAAAAAGGAGAGAGAAACAAGAGAGAGAAAATTAAAAAAATTAAGCGAACATGAAATCTTCTTATCACTTTTGGTAGGTCGAGTTATAATTATCTCTCTTTTTTTATGTGTCTATCTCTCTCCTAACATACTTTTGATGATATATTGATTTTTGTGGTTAGTGAATTTATTTCTCATATTATATTTAAGTTTTTTCCTTTTTATATATAAAGGGATTATTCTCCCATAGCATAGTGTTAATTAAAGTATAAGATAATGTATTCATCACTTCTTATAAGGTTCCCTCATTTTTTTTAATTTTCTCTCTCTTATTTCTCTCTCCTTCTTTTGTCTATCTCTTTCTATGGAGTGGGTCCATGGAGTAACTACTGTACATGCGAGAAATTTTATAATACTCGAGGAGTAACTAATAGCATATGCGGTAGTTATTCCATGGACTCACTTTTAGGAGAGAGACGGACACATAAAAAAGAGAGAATTATATTCGAACCCACCAAAAGTGATAAGAATATTTTCACCTTTACTCAATTTTTTTAATTTTTTCTCTCTTGTTTTTTTTTTTTTTTTGTGCCTATCTCTCCGTATGGAGTGGGTCTATGGAGTACATACATACAAACATATGTGTGTGTGTGTGTATTCGAACACACCAAAAGTGATAAGAAGATTTTCACGTTCACTTAATTTTTTTAATTTTTTCTCTCCTGTTTCTCTCTTCTTTTTTATGTCTATCTCTCTCTATGAAGTGGATCCATGGAGTAACTACCGTATATGTCACTAGTTACTCTTTGAGTATTATAATTTCATTATATATATACATACTCCATGGACCTACTCCATAGAGAGAGATTTAGGAGAGAGAAAATTAAAAAAATTAAGCGACCGTTAAAATCTTCTTATCACTTTTGATGGGTCGGATGTAATTTTCTCTTTTGTATGTGTTTGTCTTTCTCCTCAAAAGTAGGTCAATAGAATAACTACTATACATGTCACTAGTTACTCCTTGAGTATTATAAAATTTCTCACATGTATAATAGTTACTCTATGGACTCACTTCATAGAAAGAGATAGACACAAAAAGAGGAGAAAGAAACGAGAGAGAAAATTTTAAAAAAATTGAGCAAATGTGAAAATCTTATAAGAAGTGATGAACACATTATCTTTTACTTTAATTAAAATTATGACATGGGAGAATAATCCTTTATATAAAAAAAGAAAAAACTTAAATATAATATGAGAAATAAATTCACTTACCATAAAAATCAATACATCATCAAGAGTATATTAGGAGAGAGATAGACACATAAAAAAAGAGAGAATTATATCCAAACCCAACAAAAGTGATAAGAAAATTTTCACATTCGTTTAATTTTTTAATTTTCTCTCTCCTTTTTTGGTATTTATCTCGCTCTATGGAGTGGGTCGGTTGAGTACATACTGTGCATGCCACTAGTTACTCTTTAAGTATTATAATTTCATTATATATATACATACTCCATGGACCCACTCCATAGAGAGAGATTGAGAGAAATAGGAGAGAGAAAATTAAAAAAATTGAGAGAATGTGAAAATCTTCTTATCATTTTTTATGGGTCCAGGTATAATTTTCTCTTTTTTATGTGTTTGTCTCTCTCCTCAAAAGTAGGTCTATATAGCAACTACTATACATGTCACTAGTTACTCCTTGAGTATTATAAAATTTATCACATGTACGAGTAGTTATTCCATAGACTCACTCCATAAAAAGAGATAGATACAAAAAAGGAGAGAGAAAATTAAAAAAAATTGAGCGAACGTAAAAATATTATAAAAAGTAATAAATACGTTATCTTTTACTTTAATTAACATAATGCCATGGGAGAATAATCCCTTTATATAAAATACAAAAAGAAAAAGCTTAAATATAATATGAGAAATAAATTCACTTACCATAAAATCAATACATCATCAAGATTACGTTAGGAGAGAGATAGACACATAAAAAAAATAGAGAATTATATCCGGACTCGCTTTATAGAAAGAGATAGATACAAAAAAAAAAAAAAAAAGAAACGAAGAGAGAAAATAACGTGAAAATCTTATAAGAAGTGATGAATTCTTTATCTTTTACTTCAATTAACATTATGCCATAGGAGAATAATCCCTTTATATATATAAAAAAAAAAAAAAAAAAAACAACTTAAATATAATATGAGAAATAAATTCACTTACCATAAAAATCAATACATCATCAAGAGTATGTTAGGAGAAATATAGACACATAAAAAAAGAGAGAATTATATACGGACTCAACAAAAGTGATAAAAAGATTTATACATTCGTTTAATTTTTTTAATTTTCTCTTTCATATTTCTCTCTTTTTTGGTATCTATCTCTCTCTAGATTTGGTGGAGTGAGTCCATAGAATAACTATTGTAAATGCTACTAGTTACTCCTTGAATATTATAAAAATTTTCATTTCTTTCTATATTTTTTGGTTAATAACTCAGAATGCTTTATAACCAATTAGCTAATGAAATCTTATGATTCTTTTTCTTCATCTTTATCTAAGCATCGTTCACGTTCAACGCACTTGCCTACGTAAGTAACAATTTTTTGGCCATAAAAGCAGCATCCACACAGCTTAGATGGCCGCATAGCTCAGTCTTCCGAAGCAATGGCATCCTCAAAGACAGATAATAGCTTAGACATTCCTTCAGTACTTAGTGTTCAGGAGCTCATCAAAGAGCCCATAATTTCAGTCCCACAGCAATATGTTCATTTGGATCAACAAAAACCAACGTTTTCTGCCTGCACTGATCCCCTTCCAACTCTTCCCACAGTTGACTTGAACCTGTTGGTCTCGTTGGATACCACAAATTTGGAGCTAGAAAAGTTGCACTCCACTTGCAAAGAATGGGGTTTCTTTCAGGTTCCCTTATTTTTAATTTTTCTATCAACATATATAGAGAGTTAACATAGTTTTTTTAATTTTGGCTCCTTGTTTTGATCCAATATGGAAAAATTGAAAATCAAAATACCATAAAATGTTCGCTTTATTGGTTACTTTCTCTCATGCCAAATTCAGAGCTAACCAATAATCTAACAGTCAAAGAGATTGTTTATACAGTTGGTGAACCATGGAGTTAGCTCATCACTGATGGACAAGCTGAAACATGAGATTGAAGAGTTTTATAATCTTCCCTTAGAAGAAAAGATGAAATACGTGGTAAGGCCTGATGATTTTCAAGGGTATGGCAAGGCCAGATTAGAGCAAAAACTTGACTGGGGTGATAGGTTCTATATGATTACCAATCCAATTCAACACAGGAAGCCACACCTTTTCCCAGAGCTCCCACCATCACTCAGGTCCTCCTTTTCCCTCTCTCCTCTACTCTCTCTCTTATTATTGTGTTATCAATATCTTTTATTTGTGCATGCAGGGATACCTTGGAATTTTACCTGCAGGAATTGCAAAGACTTGCCATGAAACTGCTTGGATTTATAGCAGAAGCTCTAAAAATGGACTCGAAAGAGATTGAAGAGATGTTTGATGATGGGATGCAATCGGTGAGGATGACATACTATCCTCCATGCCCACAGCCAGAACTTGTTATAGGCCTTAGACCTCACTCAGATGCAACTGGCATCACCATCCTTAACCAACTCAATGGTATAGATGGTCTTCAGGTTAAAAAGGATGGGGTTTGGATTCCTGTGAAATTCATCCCAGATGCTCTTGTAGTGAATGTAGGAGACATTCTGGAGGTTTGTCATTCTTCTCTCCTCCTTTCTGTCACCCTCAAAGAAAAAACAAAAAGAAAGTAAGCACGAGATACATCGAATCTAGTCTTCAATATTTTAAAACCCTAGCTATTTTCAAGATTTTTCTTTTCTAGGTTTGGTAACGTTGTCAAACATTACCATAACAGATTTGCTTCACATTTAACCCTTAATTTTTTTTTTTTATTAAGATCCTCTAATATATTTTTTTATTTAATTAAAAATTTTTATCCTTCTAGATTTCTTACTTCATATTCGATTTTATAACGTCATTAATCAATGATTGATGCGTGATATTATAAAATGAAAAAATATTGAAGAACTCTCAATTATTAAAAAACGATCTAAAATAAAAAAAGTTCGAAGAATAAAGAATTTTTATTCAAAAAAATTCAAATATCACTTCAGTTAAATGTGAGAAAAAATTATTAAATAATAAAAATAATATATATTGGACAAATAATCAAAAGATTTATGAGTGTATCCAAATAATCATTGACTTTTTTTTCTTGAATTCTAGTTCAATTTATGTTGATGAGATTGCGTATTATTAACTACTATTAACGTTGCAATTTTGTTTTCGTGTTTCTATGGTAGATTCTGAGCAACGGCGTCTATAACAGCGTTGAGCACAGGGCTACGATAAATTCTGAGAAAGAAAGGATTTCAATTGCATTTTTTGTCAATCCTAAATTTGAGGCGGAGATCGGTCCTTCGACTAGTTTAATCAGCCCACAAAATCCGCCGTCATTTAGAAGGATACGGATGGAAAAATATGTTAAAGATTTCTTCTCCCGTGAGCTTGATTCGAAATCGTTCTTGGAGCTCCTGAAAATTGAAAGCACAGAAGGGGCCGCGGTGCTTGATGGCAATTGATATCCCTATCTATATATATATCTTGCATAATAAGTTATGGTTGGCCGAAATGATATATTATATAGAGTTAATAACTTAATCTATATTTATATAATAAGGTAACTCTTTGATATGTTCTTATATTTTTAATTAAGTCGATTTTATATTTGAATATATATTGAGTTTCTAATCTATAATTTTATCAAGATTTTTAAGGTAAATTATCAGAATTATTCACATGATTTACACATGATTAATTTTTATTTCTAAAAAATCCTTACAAGTCAGTTAAATAAATGGTTTTCATGTGCAAATTGTATGACTAATTTTGATAATTTAATTTGAAAATCTTATAAGAAAAATAGATTAGATATGTAATATATATTCAATAATAAAACTGATTCAATTAAAAATATAATTAAAGACATATTGATGAAAGATTATCATATTATATAAAACAGATTGAGCTATTAATCGAATCCTATTATGTATGTAATGTGTTTATGCTGAAGTAATAAAGGACTGCCTAGGTCGAATGTATGTAAATTGTGCTATTGGAGTGTCTCTCTGTCTTGTTCTCTGTTGAAGCTAGCTCTTCGATGCATGAATATGACTTGCAGCTTCATAATATATTGTATCTAAAATTACATATTATTTACAATAAGTGCATGCCCGGTTGCTTCTTTGGCATTGCCAGAAATACAAGTTGGTATGTAAATAAATTATAATTGTCTATTTGAATTTGTATTGATTTGCAAAAAAAAAAAAAAGCCATGTACAGAAGTGTGTGTGTGTGTTTTTTTTAACATATAAGTATTTTGTAGAATGCATTTATTGATGCTCGCATCGGTTTGGACCAATATTATTTTTAAAAAAAAAAATTTTAATTATTAGTAAGTTCATTATAATTGATGTAATTTATAATATGTTTTTGTTAGGATATTATAAAAATAACATTAGGCCCGCCCTTTCTATTTTTTTGTATTAAAACTAATGCTTGTATCCTAATTATTTTAAAAATTGAGCTTGCTTTAGAAAATTAAAAACTAATATTTATGCATCGTTAAGTTTGAATGGCAAAATAATAATATATAGTAATAATGTTTATATTCTCACAAAACTACATACAAGATCCTAAATGTGTTTTTTTTTCCTTTTTTTATAGATTGTTTGATGATGATGATAAATGTTCATACCCCATCAAATTAATATGTCCTAAATGCTTTTTTTTCTTTTTTGAGATTTATTATATTGTTTGATAAAAATCAAAGTAGAAATTTAGTAATTTAAAGATTTATGCATTTAAACGTTCTTTTTTTAGATTCTTTCATAACTATAATGTCAATATTCCATCAAACTACAATGTCCCAAACATCCTTTTTTTATACATATTCTACATATGACTTCAAATCTAAATAGAATTTTGGTTAAAATACAGTTCTTTATATGATTGGTAGTCTAAATACAAATTTAGTTAAATTTTAATTTAAAAATATGATTCATAGTTTAAATACGTTATGTCACATGCTATGTGTCGAACAAAAAAAACCCTTTATTAATTTTAGATGGTCACTCTCATACTAGCTATATATATGTTGATCTCCCACTGGAATAAATATCTAATAATTTTTTAGGATATTTTAAAAATAATACATAAAGATGATAGTTTAATTCCACATGTCTAATTAAATGTTTTCATTCTATTTAATTTTTAAATGTTATATGGTCAATTATTATATTTATATCATACACTGATATATTTAAAAAAAAAATCGATAAAGAACCGGAACATTTATAGATTAGGCGCATTGTGTCGTATAAAATCATTCGAGAACTAATGTTAATCATTGTTATCGAATTCAACTTTGAAATTATTAGTTAATCCTTTCATTTTAAAAAAACTAATGTTAATTAAGTTTTTATGTTTTCATCGCGATTAAGTTGTTTTAGATTTTTCTAAAATATCTTTTATCTGTAATCAAAATTTTCATTCTTAATTATTACAAATAAAATTAAAAAGTGCATTTAAGAATAAGTTAGAAATTAAAAAAATAAATAAATAAACAGTGAACTTTGGTTAACTTACTAGCTATGCTTTTAAAGAAAGAAAGCAGAAGGATTGACTTATAAAATCATTAAAAAAAATACAGAATTAAATTATAATTTACTAAAAATAATATTAGGCCTCGAAACTATGTCCTTAGTATTTATGCATTTCCCGCACTACAGCATAAATTATTCAAATAAATTGATTAAATGTTTTTTTAAGAAGAGAAAAAGGACCTTTCCTTTTTATGTGTAAGATGTAAAATTGATGTTATCAACATCGTGATTATCATCATTATTTTCCAACGTTTACTGCATTACAAAAGGAAAAAAATCAATCGTGAAAGAAACCACTCTTATTTTTATATGAATTTAATGATTGTGTTCAACTAAAATACCACATCAATAATTATTATCCAAACATTATTCAATTCAAGATCAAAATTATAGACATAATTTAATTGGCAAAGATAATTATAGACATCAAAAGTTTACAAATTCAATTCAAGATCCAAACATTTTGCAGCATAAAGCAATGGATCTAGGTCCAAGCCAAATTGAAAGCCTAATCCAAATAGTCTTCGTGGGCTTACCTATTGTACCCTTTTAACTAAAGCTATTTTAGGTTTCTGCACACGATCAAGAATTAAGCCCATGGAAGACTTCTTTCTTTGCAAATCCAAACTCTATAACGATTCTTTATTAATCCTATGTGATAATTTTCATTAATACTAAGTGACTCCCTCCAGTGCCTCCATTCAATTTTACCAAGTTTGTTTATAATAAATAGAGATACGAATATTGATATATTGCTTAGTTTAGGAATTTTTTTGTAGCCCGTTTTGCACGACTTTTGAATTATGACTTTTGACATTGAGTCATGATTCAAAACTTTTTTGTCATAAATGATTTATGACAAAAATAAGTTAAAATGACTTCTAGCTAGAAGTATAATCGATAAAAAAAAACTGAATTCAAATTTTCTTTTTAAAAAAGAAATGTAGTATGGCTTAGAATACATAAGATTGTTAACTGTTGATCAAAACAAAATCTAAACTCTATTTTGTAAGAAACTTTTGATTTAAGTTAAAATTTTATTTCTAATAAAACATGTTTATGACATTTCTTTGAAGCAAAAGTTAAAAAATAACTTAAATCAATTTGCAAAAATCATTTTTATATTATTATATATGAGTTTCAAATTCATCTCATTTGAATTTCATTAGATTCAAATTCGATTAGAACTAGAGATGAGTTGCATGTTTCGATACATGAACAAAAACTATAACATGATGATTTAAATAAATTATTTAGTAAAAAAACCAAACACTTATGAAAATGAAAAAACGAGTGGTAGCTTGTAAACATCACATTAATACAAGTTTATTATTGGGTAAATAATTCGAGTCTTCCTTATATAACTCGGGTAAGTATATGTTTTTATATCTTAAAATAAGTTAATTGTGTCCTTGCATGTTAAATGAGTTTTCAATGTATCATTTGAATTATTTTTTTCGGCAAAACCATCAAAAAATATATTGTGATTTGTATATAATTAATTTATTTTGAAAATGCTCCTTGAGTCACTAATCCATCGTCACCCTCTCTCACTTTGATCAAAATCCCATAGAGGACATCCACTAGACCATTTTCTTCTTTTCTTTTCCCCTTCTTCTTTCCCTTAACCTCTTATTCCTCTTTGCCTCTTTCCTTTCAAAAATCCGACTAACATCACCCTTAAACAAGCTGATCTCGCAACTTCGTAGGTCACCTCAAAGACTTTCTTTTTTTTTTTTCTAAAACCTCCATTTTTCTTGTAAAATCAAACCTTACCCGTCGATCTACATTCTTAGACCTTAAAATCAACCTTTTCCACCTCTCCTCACTATTTTACGGCCAAAATCAAGTCTTAATCTGCTAGCTTACCATCGACTATTTTTCTTCACTTTTCTTTTATTTTTCGACCATTTATCACCTTAAACATTTTTTTAATTGTTAAAACTCAAATCTAACACCACAAACCGACCACTTGTCATGTTAGAGACTATTATAAATTATATTATGGGACCTCACCTATCAGCTTAAGCTTTTAGGTAAGATGGTCATTTAATATGGTATCAAAGCTTGGTTGACCAAGAGATCCTAAGTTTAAGTCTCACCATCCCTAATTTCTCAAGTATTAAGCATAAGATAATGTGGACTCGTACAAGTTTCAAGCTCAAATGTTAGGCCTTTCATTTGAGGGGTGTGTTCCCAATTTCTCAAGTATTAAGCATAAGGCAATATGGACTCGTGCAAGTTTCAAGCCCAAATGTTGAGCATTTCACTTGAGGGGTGTGTTAGAGACTATTATAAATTATATTCTAAAACCTCACTTATCGAGCTTAAGCTTTTAGGTGAGATGGTCCTTTAAGACAACAATGACATAATAATCGAATGCTTAACAAATAATGACTAATCTGCAATGGCTTGAGAAAATCCTTGAGCAAGCAAGGTAGTAAAAAGCCTTGCAAACCACCGATGACTAACTTGCTTTAAACCATAGAGAGATTTAAGAACTTTGTAAACCTTAGTGGGACTAGAAACTATGAAACCGGGAAGAGGGCACATATAAATTTTTTCATGTAAATCTCTTGCAGGGAAGCATTATTAATATCAAGTTATTCCGGATGCTAATGCTTGATGGAAGCTACGCGAGAGGAGACGAATGGTGGATATTTTTGCAACTAGACTCGAAAGTGTCCAAGTAATCAATGCCGACATACTCGTGTGTAACCTTTAGCAACTAACCGAGCTTTAAACCTTTCAATGGTTCTATCGGACTTGTATTTGATCCTATAAACCCATTTGCGACCAATGGATTGCTTATCAATAGGCAAATCTATCGGTTCTCATGTGTGATTAGCTTGAAGAGCTTTCAACTCATCTCGCATAGTAAGTCTCCAACACTCATGCTTAATAGTCTCGGAATAAGT